TATTTTCTTCTATTTCAGCTGGTAACCGTTTTGTTATTCATTTTCACAGGGTGGCGATCATTACGGAATTAAAAGTTCAGAACTGGATGTGTATTTGACAGGATTTCAGGACTACAGTCAGTCATGACTGACTCAGAATTATGACTTCCTTTTTACTATCTGTAAAATATTGTAGATACATTGCAGGAATCGCATTCCTTTTCCGCCCCTTTTCAAAGAAACGGTTAGATATATAGTACTGTATTATAACGTCCGTAGACCTTGAACAGCTTTTATTGACTAAAGTATCTTTATTAAGCGACCGTACAGCTGTTTCGTGTTAACATGTTATTGAAATAAAACCAATTATATAAAGTTGTTTTTAAACAACCACTGATTTGCTTTCTATTTTTTTGTATCACTCAAACATCCCGGGCTTTCAGGGGATCTCAAAACGCAAGCGCGAGAAGAGTTTTTGGCGCGACGATCGCATAAAACGTTTAGCGTAGCGTGTCTCATTGATTCAAACAAACAGGAACTATACAGACAATTGCTTTGTTAAGTCTAGTAACTAGAAATGTTTAGTCAAACTGCTACTGCTGAAATTCTCTTCGCGGAAGCGTAAAACCGAAGACAATTTCGCAAGAGACGCGTTGAAATTCGAGAACAAGAAAAAGAAAAAATAAAAAATCTTTCTTTTTCGCTCCGGTCCGTTGGAAAATTCAATGAATAGAAATCATGAATGCACTTACGTTTTCAAAACGCTTAAATAAGGCGCCTTAGTGAAGTCTTTTGTCTACAAACCACGTGGAAGATTAGAGTAAAAATCACGCAGTCAACACGAAATCTAACAAAAACTTCTAAATAGGCGCATGCTTGGTTATAAGCGGTAGCAACGCTTTTAATAACGAACTTAAATGCTGGAGAAGAAATGAAGCAGAATTAACTCGGAAAAATCTTGTGTAATTTATCCTACCATTTTACTATGACAATGCGAATAAATCACTCACTGTTAACACAATATACAACCCGTAAGAAAAAACAAGTATGGTTAAAGGAAGTAGGAACTTAATAATTGATAAAATCAAGTGAATGGACTGGTTTTCAGAAATGATGTAAATCAAATTAAAACAAGACTTGGTAGTTTAAGTTAGCTCATTGTCGCGCAACAAAGTTTACATTCCGTGTGTTCGCCTTGCTAACTACACGTGGTCTCAGTTGTAATCCGAGACCACAAAACAAAGGAACTTACTTAACGATTTCTCATTCTTTCGGCAGTAACCTAGCAACTTGTAGAAAAGACTTCAAAGTTACCTTTGAAAACCCTAAAGTTTGTATCTGAAGTGACATTTTTAGAAGAAACAAAAGGATATTTTAGCGGGTCGCGTAAGAAAATTGAAGTTCCAACTCTGGAATCGATTTTTCGAATACATTTGTAGGACGCGCATCTCTTAAAATTCTGGCCATTTTTACGGCGTTTGTCTGGATTGCATCGTAACCGCCTCAATAGTGCAAATATTGGTCACATTTTACTCCAAATTTCGAGAATGCGGATGAAGTAGAGAAGCTACCTACGTGACTCAATTTCTCTCAGACTTTCCTTTTGTATGGAAATATATTCACAGGGCCTGACCAGAGACAAAAAAAAACTAATTATATTTTGTAGATAATTATGCTAATAGTAATTATAGACATCATATTGTACGCCGGCACTATAGGTTACTTAATATCACCACAAAGGAAATTTTCAAAACGGTTCGGCCTAATCGTAACTTGTTTGCTTATGAACAATAGTTTCTTTTAGAGCCGTTTCATTTGCTGTACATGATGCTGTGGTCTAACATTTCCATGTATTGTGGGTAGAATACTAAACTTTTAACAATTCTCATGAAAATGAACAGTGCTTCCCTGTGGTACTGTTTATAACGTTGTACAAATCGATTCCAAATTTGGAGTCCGTGAATGAGTTCCGAAAGTGTGTTCGTTCAAACAACACTTACTTATGGTTTTGTTTATCAAGCCAGGCAAAGTGGTGCTGCCACGGAATCTGTGAATGGAATACTCCAGCGAACGCTATAAGCAAGAATTACTAGTGTAGTTCTGATTAAATTTCGACCCTGTTCGCCATAGAGCCTCTAGTGGGTCAGTGGCTAGTGCATCCGAACTAGAGCTCGGTCGGAATTTTTCTGAGCTTTCTGGTGTAACAATACCTCTTCTTCCGCAAATGTAATATAAGCTTATTCAAACTTCGTTCGTCCTCTACGCAAAATTCTGGAAGCCCATTGGCTGAATGAGGTGTAACAATGGATTATACCAAACAGCGATTTTCAGGCAATCCAAGCAGTCTATATAGTTAAATAGCAACAGAGCCTTAATGCATTACAGGATGAAGTCTTAATATCGATACTGAAAAAAAAGTCAGTTCCGATCCAGATCGTACACAAATTTCCAACTGTATCGAAGTAAAGAAAAAGCGGTATCGACTCCTTTCTTTCCTCAGGTTTTGGGGACGATGTTGACT